AAATGCGAAATCGTACACATTTGTCCTCGTATCGCTGTGTTTCAATCAAGCTTTGCCATTCTTTGATGACTGCGGGGGTTTTCCCCTCTGAAATACAATTTTGTTTCAACTGCAACTGTATTTGTATCTTAATTTAACCATTTTAAGCCATAAAGTAAAAAACAGTGGTGGTAAAAATATTAACACTTATAAATGGAATATTTTTAAAAATTTCTACAAAAATATATTTCAGACATGCCCGACATATGATCTTATATAAACATTTAACAAATAAAATAATCTTTAAATTCTCATAAATATTTTTAAAGATTTTTTTTTATTTTTCTATTATTTTGCTCTCATTTGTGTAAATAAAATGGTAGAACAGCGCTTTGTTATCTAGCTCTGTTGGTTTTTCAAATGCCAATTGCTGTTGGCATTGCAATTAAACATGCGAAACATGAGCAGCCAACAGTGAGCCAAGAAAAATGCAACAAAATAGTTGTGGCAACAGAAAAACAAATATTTCGGAAATTTTCTTCCTCCTCCTCGGAGGCTTTAAATGAGAAGAGGCGAAAAAGGAAATTTGCGGAATGTTTGCCCTGAATAGCCCACCCACCCACACAGAGACACAAAGAGATACACTTGAGAACCGGAAGTGACATTTTGGAATGCCACAGGAGAAAAGGCAGGAAAATGAGAAAAAAAAGGGTCACTCAACTAACAACAACAAAAGAAACACATACTACGCCTTAAGTGTTGCTGAAAATCTCATTCATTTTCAGGTGAAAAGGGTTAATGTCAATATGGTTTTTGGTTTGGTTTTTCTAAGGCTTTCAAGTGTGCCAAATCCTAAGTAGGAAATAAAATACACTTCGATTCGACATGCCTTTCACCAGAACACTGGACACTTCACTGGACACTTTCATTTAAAGCCAAGTTCGGGTCATATAATGCTTTCTTCGGCCCCCTTTTTCTTTTCTTTTTTTTATGATTTGTCTGTCCCGGCCATAAAAGATTGCCAAGCAATTGAATCCATTGGCCACGAGCCTTGTCTGTCCGTCGGTTTCATAATCAAATACATAACTTTATTTATGCTGTCCCATCCTTTGCCCGCTCGCAATTTCGGCCCACAAAAAGTTTCCACCGAATTTGCTTACATTGGCGAAACAATAAAATTCCATTGTCAGAAAAGGGATGCTCTCGGTTCTCGGCTCTAGCCGGATGCTATTTTGTTAAGTGCGCGAATGTTGGCGCATAAATAAAAATATAATTGAGCTGCCACCCGCCTCCTCCGATTTTTCCCGAGCTCCCCAAACACGCAGATCAGATCCCTGGCCACAAGGCCTGGGGCCATGATGATGGGGAATTCGATGCACTGCCAGAAAATGTAGTTCATAAATATTTAAACAAAATTGTTAAGTAATTTAAAACATTTGTATAAAAAAAAAATTATTATCCTATACAAAAAATTAAAAATATTCAACTTTTTTATAAAACTGTGTTTTATTTGTTATATGCTTAACGTTTTAGTTTGAAATTTATTCTATACAAAAAGTGTCTAGAAGTATACAACCATATTTTTTGAGTCCTGAAAGTCGATGGTTTATTCCGAAACATTATAATAATTTTGGGCACTTTTATTAAGGTTTTTAAAACCATAAATATTTAAGCATATTATTTAAAACTTTTGTTGTATTTATCTACATTTTTGAATAATGTTGTTGAGTTTAATAATTAAACAAATATATTTCGCTGTTCTACATTTTCGAAATATATTTTATAAGTGTACCTCATCCGTTGACCCACTGTATTGATTTTCGGCCCAGTTCAAATAAATTAGCTGCCATTAATTGGAAATGCGGGCGGGCGATTCACTCAAGCAATGCACAATTTGGACCAAGATTCGATTCGTTGCCAAGGCTTAATTGATTAGCCTCGGCTAAGAGTCTCCTTTTCCCAATCGCCCCACTTCGCCTCTGCCGTCCAAGTTGTCATTGCATTTAATTGCATTGCCAAAATAAGGATTCGGGCAACAACAATTAAATTTTATCATGGCACCTGGACGAACTTTTCTGCCAGCCAAGGCAATCGAAAGCCGAGAACTTTGGGCTGCTGTTGATGCGCCGTATAATTGAATTAATTTAAAATTGCCTAGAACCATTTTACCTGCCGGGCTGGCATTAATTTTGTAAAAGTTTCCTGCTGTTTGCCAGCCATTTAAAATTTTAATTGAATTTATTGCCAACTATTCAGCAATTTGATTTCGCAGCATTTGCAGTTGATGCCATGCGGTGGATTTTGTTCATAATTAGGTTAAACAGGATGATCCTATCAAAATATGTTGGGAAAATTATTCCGATTTGCGTGTGGATTTGGACTTTTTAAATGGAATTGTAGTTGTTAATATTTTGGCAACTCAAATATTATGTAAATATTATTACAAACGACAGTTTATTATTCAGCGATTAGTATTTAACTCATTGGACAATTTTAAAAAGTATGTATAAGTCTTATTAATTTTAATTAATATGGAAATCGTATAAAATGTAATTACTAGCTTACTTTTAGACACCTATTTTCAAATTGTAAAGTGATTTTAAAAACACAGCTATTTCTGTTTTGATAATTAGGGATTTTAATTTATAGACCACAAAAACCGAATTTAAATTACACAAAGAAGATTTTTTAGGAAAACTTTTAACTTTGACTATCCAATTAAAGGACGTATTGGGTTTCCCATCATTAGGGTGCAAAAATACGAAAAATTTCAATTTTTCTGGCAAAAAACAAAGGTAACGAGTGCAAACACTCTCTACTCACGACATCAATCACTTGGCCACACACAAAAATGCCATGGCACACAGATCGCAATTAATTTACCCAAGTCAGCACGCCAGCCTCAATTTGGCTTTGGAGTCAGCCGGTGTGTTTGTCTTTCTCCTGTTGCAGCTGCCAGATGCCAGATGCATCTGCAGTCTATGGTCCATGGACTGCCAGTGCATCAGTATCTTCTTCTCCCGGCTGCAGGATACTTCTCCACTTTCCATTTTCAGACATCCAAACTGAACCGAACACCCATCCCATGGAATGTCAGCCATCGTCTGCCGTGTTTGCCTGCATGTCAAATTCTCATTTCATTGAAATCGGCAAATATTGACTAAGAACTTCGATGCAATCAACGCTGCCGGCGACTGCGACAAATGGGCGTGGCATGTCGACATCTCGGAGTCAAATCGATGCTATATTTGCCGGCACATTTGCATGGCAACGAAAGTGAAAGCGAAAACTGGGCGAGCTGAGCTGCAAAAAGTGAAAGCCCGAGGTGAAGCTTAAACTAATAAAGCAGGCACTGGCACAAAATCAACGTTGACTAAAGGTCACTTGACCTGAAAGCATAAAAAAATATTTATCTAATATTTTCTGGGTCAGGTATAAAGGATAATATTGTCTTTAATCCTTACAGCTTGGGGGAAAAGTTATTAAAGCCTTGATAAATATTTGCAACATTTTAATTAAAGTAGCTGAGGTATTTTAAATGAATATGAATGAATTTGATGTATTTAAAATAAATATGAAAATTAACTTTGGAATCAACAAGTCATAAACGTTAAAAATATATTTAGTATTTAATTTTGAAATCATACAAAAAATTATTGTTAAAATTTATACACATAGATTACAATTATAATCTTAAAACGCTGTATATAAAATAATACTTCAATAAAAGTATTAAATATATTTGCTATAGTTTCTAAAAAAAATTATCATATAAATTCCAAAATTTCAGCTAAATTCAAGCACATAAAAACCGAAAATTCTAGAACAATTACTGAACTTCTTAACACACTTAAAACCCCACCTTATTAGCCGAAGAAAATGGAGCCACTTGGTTATTAAAACATTGCGGCAAATTGCTACGCAACTTTTGCGTCAATAAACTAAACGGCCAAAACGGTCGAGGCCACTCAGGCGAATCCTGGCGGATAAGGATAATCAGCCCCGCATCCAGACATCCTTTGAAGCCAGCTGAAGCCAGGTGAAACTGAAACAGAGCAGGAGAAACAGAAACACCTGGGGAGCGAGTCAAAAAACAATTTCGCCTCATTATCATTTCAACATATTGTATGCCCAAGTGTTTCAAATTGTTCAAAGAGAGTAGGGAAGCTCGAAGGACGAGAGTTTGGCTCCTGATGAAGAAGTTTTCCCTTTACGTCCTTGTCGAGCTTGTTGGATGTCGGATGTGGCTGGGTGGGATCTCTGGGTGGGTTTGTAGGTGCTGGCTGAAATCACTATGCTCATAAATGCGCCATGAATAAATTAACTCGCTGAAAAGCAAAAGCCAAGCCAAACTAAAAGCCGAGCAAAAACAAAGGCGAAATGGGGTGGTGAGGTAAGGAGAGGAGAGAGCCTTAGATTTCAAACGAATGATAATAATAATTGAGGCAGCGACCCAAGTACTTGTACATTGGTTAGATAATAACACTGTACACGTACAAGCAAAAGTGTTTGTGTATGTGCTGGCACTGGGAGAAAAGTGGTGTTCTTAGAAATGGTTTTGAAGTTATCAGGGATCTACAAAATTAAATTATACATTAAATTATACATCTAGATTTTTACATTTAAAAACAATTTACTCTTGGTAGTATTGGAATTTATCAATTAAAAAGTATAAATAAATATTATTCTTGTTAACTAAAAATGTATGTTCCAAATGGTTTAAATTCCAATTTATTTAAAGTAAAACCTCTAAGTGTTTGTTTTTAAATATATTGTTAGCCATGTTTAATGAACATGGAACATATAAAATCCATGTTAACCAATTTAGGCATAAAGTAAAAACTCACATATAAAGAATTATTCAATAGCAAATAGCAATTCTAAATGCTTAAATTCCAATTAATTCAAAGTCAAATGCTTGAGCTTGTTTATTTTAAATAATTTTGTTAGACATGTTTATTGATTTCCCCATTGATTTCGGAGCAAGAGAAGCAACACAACAATCTAAGCAACCGCTTAGTTGCTAGACAACATCAAAATTCCCCGAAACAAAGGGGTCTCGCTAACAGCTTTATCGATACTCCAGGTAAACCCAGGTGACCCTGGGAGTTGGCTTTCGTTACCCGACAGGAGAAGACCATAAATTTCACCTTCAAGATGTCCGTCCACCGCATTAATCCCCGCCACCACTCCCTTGCCGCCCGGCAGAGGCAATCGCGGACCACCCGGATGACACGTCACACCATCTTCAGCTTGAAGAGACCCATCACCTTTCAGGTGCGCAAATCCTTGGTGGAATATGTGAACATGGAGCTGGCTGATATGGACACCTCGGTTTTCTATCAGCGGATTTTTATACTGGCCAAAAACTGTCATTTGACGCCCGTGGAATCCGAGGAAGAGCTGCCCGCCGAAGGGGTTCCTGTTCAAGCGGATCAGTTGGAACCGGAACCTCCAGCTGAAGGAGAGCACCTGCATTTCACAGAGGATGCCATCCTGGAGAACGATGAGAATGATTCACCCACCACCACGGTGACGGAATCTGCACGCCTTCCTCCGGCGCCCGATGAAGTTGCTCAGGAGGCGGCAGCGGGAACAGGACAGGAAGTGGTGACCCACACCTTTCGTTTCAGCGAGGAGGATCACGGCGGGGAAGAGGACTCCCTCGGCGAGGAGGAGGAACTGGAATTGGAGGCCCAGGCACCCGGTCAGCCCAAGGATTTCTTTGCCATCTTCAGCGAGCGACTGCAGGAGCTGCACAAGCAATGCAAAGAGGTGGCCATCACCACGGATCCCATTTGTGGTTTGTATCTCCACATGGGTGAGTACAGTATGCTGATGCTGGAGGCCTCTGAGGATATGATAGGCTGCTTCACCCGGGAACTGGCCAGCTGCGCCGAGAACTTTTGGCAAATGAACCGCGTCTTTCATATAGAGGATCATATACAAGAACTCTACACCAAGGATTTCATATTTCGCAGGATTCCCTCGGTATTTCTAAATGAAAAGTTCCCCACTTCCACGCCCACAGATGAGTATTTGATGGGCAAACAGCATTTGATCATCAAGGACAAACTATTGACTGTATGTCGCCTGATCTCCGAGGGCCATGGAGGTCAATTAGATCCAGATGCGGTTTCTATGAGGGAGAGCGATTTCGAGGAGGACTTGCTCAAGTCCAAGTCCAAAAGTTCCATTCAAAGCGATCATTTACCTGTGGATATTTACAGAAAACACCTACCCGAAATTCAACGCATCGAATTGGTTTTGGCCTCCACTCGGTTCTATTATGATCTAGATGAGTTTTCCAAGATTTACGGACGGGTGCCTTTTTCACCCGACGAGGACGGATTGTTTTGGCCCATTCAGAACAATTACACCCCACCGAACATCTTCCGGCGCACTCCTTATGATATTAATCTCACTTTCGGGGAATATGCCGCTGTGGCTGGGAAAAGGAGAACCCATGAGAGTCTGGTCGGGAGTTTCGAAGCCGAGGAGGAGTCTCCTGCAAAAACAGAGACTGCAGAGACTGGAGAGACTCCACCGAAAGCTGAATGAACTGTTCTGCTACTTTGTTTTAATGTGGTTTGAATGTTTTGTCTTTCAGCATTAAATAATATATATGAAAGAAAATATTATAAGATCTAAAGAATTCGCGTCTTCATTTTTCCTTCTGTTTAACCTTATGTTTAGTTTTTTACGAGGGAGAAAATAGGGATAAACAATAAACAATAAATAATAGTTGCTAAAGAATTCGCGGATTTAATTAAAGACAGCGAGAGAAAAGACAAAGAATTCGCGTTTTAATATTTTTTGTTAAGGTATTTGGCCAACTAAAGAGGATAAGTTTTATAGATTTATTTTTGTTCATCAAATTAGATCCTAAAGAATTCGCGTTTTCAAATGTAGGGGTTTCTTAAGGCATCTCTTTTTAGGTACATTACATTTTTAAAAGATACCTACATAAATGTTTTTTAAACGTTTTTTTTGAGTGTGCTGCCATCATCGTCATCAAGAAGGAGCGGCAGTTGTCGCTGTTATCTCTGAAACTCGCGCTCGGTTACAATGTTTTCGGCATTGTGCACATGACTGCATCTCATCCGGGGGCAGGTGGCTACTGGATACTGGATCTCTACATAGACATAGGTGTGGGGCTTTTGGTGTGGTTTTAGCCCATTCGAGGTTGTCTTGTTTTGGCTTGCCACTTGAATGGCTCGACTTTGTTAACATAAACATAAATTCGCGGTGTGAGTGCGCACATGTGTGTGGGTTGGCTGGCTGACTGCCTGAATGGTGAGCCTTTTAACATAAACCGCATCAGACGCCAGCTGTCAGTTGTAATACCGCTCGGGAGCTCTGAAGCTTGCAGCTGTCAAAAGCCGCTGCTGCCATTTAAAGTCACTTGACAGTGGGCCCGAAAAGAGGAAACACACAACAGCTTAGTGGGGATTGTTAAGGGTTGCCGAAATCGAATGGGGTTAAGCAGAGGTTGGCTCTAGAAAAGTTGCCTAATAAAGTTGAATATTTACTCACGATTAATCATTCCCCGAGGGGGCGAAGGCGAAAAGGCGTTAAATCGTGAATTTGTTCTGCAAATCGAATACAAGTTGTGTTGGTTTTTGTGTTTCGTTGAGATTTTATTTAACTTTTCTTTAAGGGGTGATAACAGGCTACAGGAAATGTCAACAAAATGTGTAAGATTTGATTTTTCCGTGTTTAATTAAAAAATGTTCCAAATAATTATTTTTTATTTTTAATCTAATAAATAAACTAAATCATTAGGATTTAATAAAAACACTTTTTAAATACAAAATGCTTAATTAATTTTGATGTTCATTTTTACCATTATCTTGATGAGATTCCCCTAAATTAAATTACCCCTTGTGGCTTAAAAAGGAGCGTTTGCCGCGACACCGTGTTTAGAAATTGAGCTGAAAAAGTTAATTAAACTTTGGACTTTGGACTTTGGGCTTTGGGCTTTTCACCTCGGCTCCACGATCCGCCTGCTGTTTTTGGGAGGAAGGTGGAGGACATGCCATGACAAGGACACAATTCAATCAAGCGCCACAGGAGCCGCTGCAGATACACAGACAGCGAGTGTCAGCGCATAAACAAGGACATTGCACTCCTGGGTGCCTCTGCACAGCCGGCAGGTGGGTTTCCTTTTTCTGCCCCGGGTTTTCCCAACGAGGGAGAAAGAGGAAAAGCCAAACATTTGCCGCTGCAGTTTTCATAAACTGCCAGACAGCAGAGGCAGCTGGAAAGGCGAGGAAAAAGAGGAAAAACAACCACATCAAGGTTGGCCGAGACAATGGCGATAAGCCGCTGCAGCAGTGTTTTCGATTCCGGAATTTTTACCCCTTTACCCAGGGAGACTACGTAGTACGTACTCCAAACTGCAGACTCCAAACTACGTAGTACTCCTCTGGCCGAGAATATTTCGCTTACGTGTGGCCCACAACTTGAGGCGCAAACTCATAAATTACACAGGCGAGCGAGAGGGCCAAAAAAAAGCAGCTAACATGACTTTTGGCTGCTGTTGCTGCCGCTGTGTTCTTGGCCCATCAAAAGTGAAACTGTTTGCTGCAGTCGCCAAAGGGGCGTTTGGGCGTGGCCTTAGCCTCCGCTTTACTCGGTCTGGGGCGCCAAAAGACCAGGCATAATTTAAGCCAAACTCAATTTTCGCATACCCTCGCCAAAGGAGTGCTATAAAAATAAAGGTATGGAGAAATCATTAAACTAGAAATATCTATTTAGAATTTAACTAAACATAGAGTAGGACTTAAAGTCTATAGTAGATTTCACATTATAACACTTTTAACTATAAGATAATAGCATTGAAAAAAGAAAATAATTTAATTATTAGGATATTCTATTATTGTATGATATTTCTTTTATTTATTTAATCAGAATTCAATTAAAGGAACAGTTAGAAAGTCTGTTAATTAATATTGAGTATTATAAATAAGAAACTCTGACCTAAAAATAACATTTAACTTATCAAAATACTAAAAATGTACTTATTTAAATTTATAGTTATTTAAATGGATTTAATTTTTGTTTCTTCTCTTGGTTTTTTTTCTAAAATAAAATAAATATACATTTTCTAGCACCTTATTATATTATTAAATTTATTTTAACTTGGTAAATTAATAAACGGCAGTAAATTTACAATAAATAAACTTCATACTTTTAGCATTTCTTGGTGGAAATTTTATTTTTCTTTTTTAGAGCAATCATAAAATCGGTTTTCTAAACTCTTGAACTTCTTCGTTTGCTTACAACACTTTAAAATAGCAGAAAAAAGAGGCTGGGAAATAGAGAGTGCAAACTAACTAAAATATATATTATGTGCTGTGTATACTATAAAAACGAAAACAATTTTGCGGCGCGATAAACGAATTTCCCGACTTTTGTTTTTGCTTGCTGCCTGCTAGCCAGCTTCTTCCGCCCTTTTGGCACGAATAGAAATTTTTGGCAGCAAAAGGCGAGTCAAGGATAAACATGGCAACGTTTCGCAGATTTGCAGGCAACAACAGAGGGGCTGGCCTAAAACGAGGAGGCAGTTTTCCCCGCCGACACGGGTCCAGATTGCATTTCCCGGACAAACGATTTTGGCAACTAAGTGCCGCCGAAAAAGAAGGGAAAGTTTCAAAAGGAGGAGAACTTTAGTCAGGATAAGATCTGAAATCCAATGGAGAAAACTGCAATTAGTCAAATGAGCAGGACGTGAACCATATTTCATTGGGATAAGACAACTTTTGACTTACGACTGGGAAGCAAGTCAACAAACAAACTTTTCCACAATTTATGCCTGCCGCAGTTATTGACTTTTGACTAAGAAGAAATTGCGTGGGCATCGTTCTGAACATTCACATTCATCATACGCCTAGTTGTGCACGCTTTAAATCAAATTAAATGCCTGGAGTTTAATTCCCAAAACAATCACAAACTTTCGCCATAAAAGGGACGCACGTCCTTAAACCAAAAAAAAAACGACTGCGGAAAATATGAAAGAAATTAAAAATAATAGCGCACATAAAACCACAAGCTGCCTGGGGATTCGGGGAAATTAAGCGTGAAAAAATCAGTGAAAATGCCTGGAAAATAGAGCGAAACCCATGCTGACTGACTGACTGGATGTCTGCCTGAATGGTTGACAGCCGCGTCTGGCCTTGGAAATCCAACCGTTCAGGCGCGTTTAATTTCGAGCATTATGGATATCTCAGTCCGAGGCTGTTTACATGCGTGTGTGTTAAAGCCTAATGTGCACTGGAAAAAAAGACCGCAAAGTAAGAGACAGACAGAGACGAATATTTATAAATTTAAAATCACCTGCAAATGTTTCTAAAATAAAGAACTATAATAAAATTAATAACTACTACGATTTTTGTAACGAATCTCTAGAAATTTGTTGTTTAAAATGGAGTTTCTCATACTTTTACACACCTTTTTAAATGATTTTTAAAATGGAGCTATATTTTTAGCTCTAATTACAGAATTAGTAGAAATAAAGTCCGGAAAAAGTATCCTAAACAAATTTTAGTCTTTAAAAATTTTAAATTTTAAATTAAGATTGTCTGTTTAATTATTTTCCCAGTGCAAATATGCATATTTGTCTGTTCGCGCTTTTGTTTATCTTGAATTTGCCTGTCGCCTTTTTACTTTTTACACACTTTTTCCCACATATTTATTATCATGTCGGTTTCGGTTTGCGTTTCCGTTTCCGCTGTTTTCCCGCTCTAATGAAAACCTCCAACTGTCCCTTTTTTTGGGGGCAGGCATGGCAAATGTTTATTATGTGATTATGCTCAAGTTTAGCGCCCGTAGCGCCGAGGTCTATCCCAGGAATTCCTGTCCTGTCCGGGGCTTTTCCTTTCCTCTACCCATTTTCCATTTTCCATTGACCGGCGGCAGGATTTGGCCTTTTGCCTGAATTTGTTTGTTGTTTTTGTTAAGGCTTCCTTTTTGCCTTCCTTTTTTTGATGCTTTAAAGCTTTTGTCATCCCTTATGGGCTGGATGCCTTTGGATTGTCGGGGTCCCTGCGTTGTCGTTTTAAATTACATTGTTACAAGTGTTTCGCTACTGTGTCTGTCAGTGTTTCTTCCCAGAATGACTAAAAACGATGATTTATAGGAGGCTGAGACTAAGCCAGCTCTAAAGGTTAAAGTTCAGGCATTAGATCAGGTTCTTTCTTATTTTTTTTCTTATAATTGGATGGCTTGGCCACCCCAGGGGTCACTCATTAAGCTGGAGTTCCTTAAGAAGTCCTTCTTAAAATTCTGTAAACAACACTCATTCCAATAAATACTCGACCGCCCCTTAAGTTAAGTAAAGTTTATTTTATTTATTTCATAAATATATTTTTAGCTTCCACTTCAAGTAGATGGATTTAATTATATATCTGTATAAGAAAGAGCTGGGCAAACACATCACACACTGCGAAACATTTGCCAAAGTAAACACACTGCGTTGCCATTAAAAAGCATTTCCAAGTTTTCGGGGGCTGCGGGCGCTCAGCGGGTGTCGGAAAATGGGAAATGTAAGCGGAAAATTAGGGGGAAATTCAGTGGCATTGTGCGAACAGTAGAAACACTGTTGTTCGTTACGC